CGCACACACACAACATATATACCAAGTAGTTTTTCTATGGTTACATTGTGATTTCAAGGGAGAGCCTTCTTTACCGACTGTACACTCCACCTTCCTCTACTCCCCCACTTGTCCAGATCTGGGCTAACATCAGATTTTAACCATAGGCTCTATTAAATAAAATAATATAACATTTATTATTATTATTATTACTATTATTAGTAGTAGTAGTATTATTATTAACAAGAATGCATTATTATTATTATTATTATTATTGTTATTATTATTATTATTATTATTATTATTATTATTATTATTATTATTATTAATGATGATGATAATAATAATAATAATAATAATAATAATAATAATAATAATAATAATAATAATAATAATAATAGTAAACACAACATTTTCGTTGTTGAGATAAACTTGTTTCTCCAACACAAAATTTGATTTTTTTTCTTAGCGACTTGATAAGGATAATTTTTATTCATATCCTTACTTTTTTAATACGTTATTTCGTATAACTCAAAGCTTTAGAAGGGAATAGCAGAACTAGGGCAGGCAAGAATCAGATTGGAGAGAAGGAAAAGTCTGACTGAATAATGAGCAATGGTGAAAGACTGAAATCTGTTTGTTCCTCTTACATTGTTTATCCTGACCTTTACAGAATCTCATTGCAGCCAAATTACTAATAAATCTCCTGTTACTCACATCAATTTGTTTTTGTTTTCAGACAATAGAAAGGTTCTGAAATTCTTCCTGAAAAGCATCTCATTCTGGCTCATTCCCACCATCAAAGTATGAGGGTCAGTTTCAATTCTGTTAAAATTAGGATTTATTTTTGTTACACGTCATGTGATTCAACTGGCATTGAATTGGTACTTCACTGAAAACACATTTTTTATGATTTTTTATGATTTTAATAAGTCTATCTGAGTTTTTCATGCAGACTGTACATGAAAATAATATCCTACACCTAGCTCCTGCTAAATAGACGGTGAAACTCTAGGATGTAAAAAGCCTGACAGATCTACATCACACTGTCATGTAACATGGACACACCCATCTTGACTCCTGATGGGGATGGCTGTTGTTGTCATAGCATCCAGGAAACAGCCGAGAACATCTCCACTAGCTAACAGTTAGCATTAGCAATGCCACCAAACGGTAAAACTCCTTCAGGCTCTTGTTATTTGTGGAGATGAAACATCCATGCCGCAAAGCAAAAAGTCACTTGTTGTTAGCTAATCAAAGGTGAGATGTCCGAATATCAGGAAATAAAACTCCAAATCCTGCCATGTTCATCTCAACTCTGATCTGGCTCACTTCTAGTTCTTGAAATTGGTGCACTGAAGCTTTCCACCCCAATGAACAACTTACAAGTGAGCCATTCCTACTAAAGCAACAAGTCAGGCTGGTGAAGAATCTCTCGGACCTGCGGACCATCAGCGCCGGTTCCCCTCAGGGTTGTGTTCTCTCCCTTCAGCTCTTCTCCCTGAACACCATCAGCTGCTCTTCCAACCACAAGTCTGTCAAGCTTATCAAGTTTGCAGACGACACCACCATCATCTCTGAGTCTACAGAATGGAGGTTGTACGGCCGGTGTCCTGGTGTAGCCACAACAACCTGGTGTTAAATGAACAGAAGACAGCAGAGGTTGCCCATAACCCTGTCTGACACTCCCATCACAATGGTGGACGCATGTTGCTTCCTGGGCACCACCATCATCCAAGACCTCAAGTTGAAACCCATCACCTCTGTCATAATAAAGGCCCAGCAGAGGATGTACTTCTTGAGGCAGTTGAAGAAATCAGTACAGTAGATGAAGCAGTTCTACTCTGCAGGCATCTAGTCCAACCTCACCTCTTCAATAACCGTGTGGTATGCTGGAGCCACCACCAGGGACAAGAAGAGGTTGTTGCTTGTTGTACGCTCTGCCAATAAGGTCATTGGCTGCAAACTCCCCTCCATACAGGACCGGTACATATCCAAGACATTAAGGTGTGCAGGTCGGATAACAGCTGACCTGTGTCACCCTGGACACGGTCTTTTTGACTCGTTCCCATTTGGCAGGAGGCTCCGATCCACTCGGACCAGAACCTCTCGCCACAGGAACAGTTTCTTTCCCTCTGCAATCGGACTCATGAATGACAATCCAAGGGCTGCCCACTCCAGTCGCTTGGTTTCAGTCACATGACCCTGTGTTGTGTTTGTACCTGAACTGATCTGCTCTGATTGGTACCTACACTGTATCGTACATACAGTAGTAGCTATTTCTCTATGATTATATTCTTACGTCCTATACTGTATATACTTATCTCTTATTTATATCTTTCTTTTTGCACCAATCACCACAGCAATTTTCTAATGTTTTGATTTCTCAAACATATGGTAATTAAAACATTCTGATGGTGATTCATCAAGAACAAAACAGTGTCAAGAAGTTCACATAAAATAGTCACATTTTTTCAAAATTATTTTAAAAATATGTTTTAAATCCTCTACAAGGTTTTATGTGATAGATTTCCTAATAAGGTATGAAAATGTGTTTTTGAATCATCTAGTAGTAAATGGATGACAATTAACTAAATCTTCATTATTAAAACATACATTTGTCATACCAAAATGGAACAAATGAAATTCTGCAGCACAAAACAGAAAAATAAGCCTTCGTTTTGAATATTTTTTAAGGTACACATCACTGAGCACCTCCACTGTGTCCTCACACTTCTGTTTGCGGTGTAAATAAAGCTATAGACATGTGCTGAAATGCAGGAAAATGAATGTTGTGTGTTATATGCTGGATGTGAAGCGGTAAACAGCAGATGGTCAGGAAGGCCTTTTTAGCGCAGTGGATTTCATCTAACTACCCACCTGAATGACCTGTGCTGAGCTGAGCAGCTGATGCAGGGAACAAAAAAACTCAAAGTTAACTGTTTGCTCTTGTTTACTTCAGTTCCACTAGACTGCAAGGCCAGAGGAGACATTTGCAATGCATGGAGAAATTAGCTTGTTTATCAGCATTTTGATTTCCATCTCGCCTCGCCATCCCACTGACATTTTAGACGTACATGATCCATGACTGATTCCCAATCAAAGGCACAATGACAAAGTACTTTGCTTGTGCCTTTTCTATTGTTGTACAATTAATGTTTGACAATTAGCTCTAAGCATGATTAGGAGAAAGCTTTGTTGTGTGCAAGCTTTAAAAAAAATAATAACCTTGAACGGCGTACATCTGTCCTGTCAATTGGATGCGCTCCAAAGATTACCAGTGAGCCACTGCACCTCATGTCCATATCGGTTGCTTCAAGGTGATTTGTGGTGGTAAATTGAAGGTTTTTCTTTTTTTGTCTCTCTCTCTGTCTCTCTCTCTCTCTCTCTCTCTCTCTCTCTCTCTCTCTCTCTCTCTCTCTCTCTCTCTCTCTCGCTTGTTGGTGGTTGTTGCACCCTCAGACCTCCCACTGTACTTTCAAGTTGAATGGAAGACAGAGCCAAAGTCCTTGAAAGGTTGCAAAAATCTTTAGCCATTCATTACTGTAAAGGGGGAAGCGTGGAAAGTGAGAGAATATAATGAAAACTAATACTCTTTCTAGTCACCAAGCTATCTGTAGATATGTTTGATATCCCATTATAGGCCCAGAAGTAACCACAGTTCTATACTGTCAAGAGACAAACATAATCCAGAGGGAAATTACCCATCAGGAAGGCAATACTGCTACTGAGATGCAATTACCAGGCCACTTGTGAGACTTTCAGCCCAGTGTCCATGAATGAATGTGTGTGAGGGTGGTCGATATGTGCATAACAGCTCTTATGTTTAGCAGACTAAATTGGATTCTTTGTTGGAGAACAGTTAATTTAGAATATGTCCAAGATGCAAATGATTGATGTGACTATATCGCTACAACTCCAGTTTTGTGGTGCAAGGAGACCTAATGGGTAAAAGATATTGCAGCAGCAGGAAAGAAGCTTTTTAATCAAAGAGTTATAGAGATGTGTCCTGAAATTTTCAGAGGCAGTGGGTGAATGGGTGGATGTTTATTTCAAAATAAAAGCAATGTGAGCACGTTGCCTTTATTCTGTCTTATTTTGCAGAGCTCATGTTCATATTTGTCAGGAGTTAACCAATCTGCATGTCTCACAGAGGATTTAATGTACCAATTTAGCAGCAGATCACATAGCCTACAAACAAAGACAACAGTACGGATCGCAATGAACAAGAGTGCAAACATTTGATAAGGATTTGCTGGAAGCAACTGCTATGCTTTATTATTGATACAAAAACATGAACCACAAAAAAAAAGCTACTCTTGTGCATGCGGCACACTCTATTCTGCACTGTCCTGTTGTACAACTTATTCCCTACTAAGTTGAACATAACATCTGAGGCAATAGCAAATTGCTTCTTGTTACCCTTGAGATAAATATCTCAAGTTCAGGACATTTCTACCAAAATACAAAACAATTTCCTCCAACCTGATAATTAATTATAGCAGCCTTCAATAAGCAGCTTGTAACCTTACATGTAGCACAGAGGGGACAGAAAAAAAAAACGTTGCAGGGAAAGTGCATGTGGATAAGAAATAAAACTGCCTGCACAGAGTTTGAGCCTAGCATGCATAATAAATGTATGACAAAACAATACCCCAGGCACCCCAGTATTAATGATATGCAGTGAACTCATTATTAAAGTTCCAAAACAGCTCCTGGAGTAACACAGATGGAGTCAATTAAGCAATGAGCATACTTGCTTGCCTGCCGTTTCATCTTCTTTCTTTTATCTTTTGCATATTACTCCACGGATGTAATTAGCTGTATGTTTCTCCTCACAACATAATGTCCAGTGATAATCCCAGCTATTCTCACTTGTAATTTCAAATAATACGCTGCTTAATAAATGTATCAAATTTGCTTTCCCCTTATCCTTGGGTGTTTGGTTAGCAGTGTGAGAGGTGTGGAGGATGAAACCGTTCACAAGCTGCTCTCTTTCTTTGTGCCGTTTCTGTTTCCAGAGACCTGATGCCTTCGACGCTGGAGGGGCAGATCACCATGGAGAAGACACCCAGCTACTTTGTGACTAACCATGCCCCGAAGCGCATCCACTCCATGGCCAAGGACATCAAGCTTATTATTGTGGTGCGTAATCCTGTCACTAGAGCCATTTCAGACTATACACAGACTTTATCCAAGAAACCAGAGATCCCAACCTTTGAGGTTCTGGCTTTTAAGAACCGGACGCTTGGGCTCATAGATGCCTCCTGGAGTGCGTTGCGCATAGGAATATACGCTCTTCATTTGGAGAGCTGGATGCAGTATTTCCCTCTCTCCCAAATGCACTTTGTCAGCGGGGAGCGGCTGATCGTCGACCCTGCTGGAGAGATGGCCAAAGTGCAGGACTTCTTGGGGCTGAAGCGCATCGTCACAGACAAACACTTTTACTTTAATAAAACTAAAGGATTCCCATGCCTGAAGAAGCCAGAGGACAGCAGCACTCCCAGATGCCTCGGCAAATCTAAAGGAAGAACTCACCCTAAAATAGACCCGGATGTGATTCGGCGACTGCACAAGTTCTACAAACCCTTTAACATGATGTTCTACCAAATGACTGGGCAGAACTTTGAATGGGAGCTGGAGGAGGACAGTGAATCCCGTAGCTCTCAGGACTAGCATGGCATCGCTCAGCCACACCACCAGCCTTCTCACTACTGTTGTCCCACTTCATCTTAAGAGAGAGTGCTTGAGCACGCCAATCAATCATGGCTGTCCTCGCAGTGTCTGTACCCATTGGCGAGAGTTCACCAATACGCTTTTTCTCGATGATGGCTAATCATTATAGTGTATATGAAACATAAAATATATTTATATTTGTGTAAATGAGATGATTTATTCCTTTGTTTTTCTTTTTAAAGCATAGAAAAGAACCACGTTGACTTTGGCGATGCATGCGATGAGTTAAGTGTCCTTACCTCATGAGCCCTTTGGGTAAACTCCGGCTGTTTTTTCTCCCTTTACTTTCCTGCAGTTTGTTGCCCTCACGCCCACTCACCAGCGTCCGGTACAAAAGGAGTATTGTATTTCAACGACTGAGGCCATGAAGTGCTCTGTGTTCCTTCTTTAGACACAGTCCTGCTGCTTTAGAAGACAAAGAAAGGAGAGCGACTATAATCCTGTCACAAGCTCATTTTTGGTTGTCCATGTTTTGAGTGGAGACAATCCGTTTAAGTTTACCAAAGTGTTCGTTTACTCTGTTTGCTCAGCACCTATTAATTGCACACATACTCAGAAGGAGACCTAAGGCACATTGGCCTTCAGTCAACAATTGGCTTGTTTTGCTGCAAAGTTAATCATTAGCATACTGATGACCACGCACTCTGACGCGGTGCAGAATCAGTGGTTTTTGGTTCAACTTCTACTCACGGTTCTGGAAGGTTCTGTTCTCCTCGTGACCCTCTTCTTGTCACAGTAATACAAGTCAGCGAGGGTGAAGGAAAACAGCGCAGGACCGAGCAGGAAGTTTGTTACCAAACATCTGCTGCTGCACGGTCCTCTGTCATTAGAGATTAATGGTGTGTTAAATAAACTGCTGCTGCTGGAACAAAGTCAATGTCAGAGAGAATTTGCTGTCAAGGTAAAGCCACACACATGCCCAGGTAAATTACCAAGCCATTACTGTATGTGTTTAACTTGAATGTGACCATTTCCAGCCAGGGGATTTTGGTTTATTAGAAAACAGTGTTTTGCTGTAAAATTCCCACTTACACAATGAAATCTCACGATACATCTTTTCCCTACTTAATTATCTTTTTTTTTTTATATATATTTTGTTCTGCATAACCCACTCTGTGTCTGTCTGTTGTCTCTGGACTTTTCATCAATTGAGACAATCAATATAGTCAATGAGTCAATAAATACAGTCTGCTTCACATCACTTGCTGCTACAGCTATGATGCATTGCTCTGTTAATTCCTCTTGTTCTCTGGCCATGGATGGCTGGATTGGTTCCCTCTCTGCAGACCTCTCTGTCACCCCGGGGAGACCGACACCAGCAGCTACTTACACAGTGCAATTGATTCAATCAAAGTAAGCTCTGCGCTGCCCTTTGCAGCACCGGGCCTGAACGCTCGTCGCAGAATCGCAGCATCCCAGAGTTACAACTTCCACTTTGAGGCTTCTCTGTGCAGCCGTCCCTTGGTGTTTTTTTGACAATGCACTTTTACCTCCTTCTCTTATTTCTCATTTTCTTCTTGTCCCATTGCTCCCACTTCCTCCTCTGGGCTGATATTGAGAAGCTGTAACACAAAGTCGCTCCTTTGGCGTGATAACTGAACTCCAAGCAAGGCATTTGAATCGTGAAAAAGAATTAACATGATTTATTTATTAACATATTGTTTTTTTCTAAGCTAACATGTCTAACCCACCTTCCAAACCCTCCTACAAAGTGTAAATAAACCCACAAAAGCCCCCCTGCAGCGTTATTAGGACAGATGAGGTCTATTTTATTTCCTTCTATGAATTTGCACTTTTGCTGTAATTTGCATTTTTAGGATTATGAGCTTAAGGGAATTTCTCTCCAAAGTGAAACGTGGAATCCAGACTTCTCATTAACCAAAAGAAAAAAGCAACAACATATGTATGCACATACGTTTTTCTTTTTGTACCTCTTGCTTGTTTTAGTTGCAGGGGGTGCCCTGTGACACATGCTGTGAAGCTTTAAATCATGAAAGACATGCTAAACTACCCTCCATGTGTTTGTCCCAGTGGGGGCCAAGTCATGTTCTGTGGTACAAAAGGATTCCAGGAATCACCTAAGCGTGGATGTGAGAGGGAAACGTCACCTGTTCACCAAACTGTCACTTCTTAAGTAGCACCTTATGAGAAAACAAAATAAAAAAAACACCCAAACTCAGTTATTAAAGCAGCTTTGAGCTTCGTGGTGAGAAAAGTGACAAGCGAGGAAATTTTTGCAACATCAGTTGATGTGTTGAAGGGCTTCAATCTATAAAAGCTACAGTCAAAGAGGTACAGTCATGTAGCTGAAACATAAATGAGGAGTATTTATGACTGATTTTCAGGTGCTGCTATGGTTATTTCTGTTTTTGCTCATTCAGTGATCCACAAACCATCCACAAACATGTTTGCATCAGAAATCAGTTTGAGACAAAACAACCTTTTCAGGAAAACATAAGAGGCGTGAGGTGGTCACATGCTTAACAATGTTAATGTTGGCACATAGAAATCCAGTGTTTGTGTTAGTTACATTTGAAAAATGCTGCAACATAATTTTATTGATGTTATAATGTAATTTTTTTAATAGCTGCATTTTTTTTCAGCCTGATCCCAAATAATCCTTAAACTGGTATTCTTCTTTAGTTTGTTTGTTTGTTTGTTTGTTTTCACAGTTGTGGCTCATGGTTGCAAACCCCTGCTCTATGCTCCTTTTTTATGTTTTTGCAAATTAAACCATTTTCTTTTTCAGTTAGCATAACCTTGACCCAAACAAAATATAATCAGAAACTGAAATGCATCTCCATACCATGTTTATCTCTTGCACGTAAATTCAAACGTATTTATTCATAAAACTACATCTAAAGTGCATCCATTGAAATATTCTTCAAACTCCAAACATCTACTTCTGCAGCAGGATTCCTCATTTCCATCTTAAATTTATTTAAGTGGTGCCGTGCTTGGTGAAGTAGAAAATATGTTCCATGCATTTGAGAGCTGAAACCCATGTTGGCACAAGGACTGAAGTTACAGTAATAGTTATTACCAAATCTGCAGGGCTATAATAATTTTAGAAAAAACCTTCCTTCACACATGGCTCAAATAACCTCCAATCAGGAGTTCCTGCCATTTCCACAGATCAGAGTCAGTACCAGAAGTAATCACTTTCATCTAAAGCTTCTTCCGGAGTCAGGAACTTCCTCTTTAACCACCTCAGGAGAGGAAAAGCATCCCCTCATAAATCTTGACTCCGTTCTTTCCTCTGTGCTCTGATGGGTGATTTTCCATCCCTGCTGCTGCACTACATTCTCCCAGTCTGGCTTTTCTCACACAACAATCTGTAAGGCACTTTCACACTGACAAAGACTTCAGTCGGCTTCAGCTTTTGCAAAAATGTAAAAGTGCTTCTCCTCTGTTTCAGGATTGTTTAAGAAGACATTCACTAAAGCTAACATGTAGATTACATCTGTGGTTTTATACACGCGGGAAAGTCAGAAATATTCATTTTTTGTGTGATTTTGTTGAGATTTTCTGTGATCTGATGAGGTGTTGTGAGCTTTATAAAGGTCCTCTTCAAAAGCAGAATAAATTAATAATGCAGCATCATCGCCGTCAGTTATCATCTAATAACCAATTAAACAGTAATCAGTGAGAGATAAACATGTTGATAATGTAGACCAATAAATTGGGCGTGCATAATGAATGTGTTTTTAATTAAATTAGTACAAAATCACATCGGCTCCCCCAAAAAATGTTCTATGATAATGTGCAATAATCCTGCTGCAGCTGAATAATATTGACCCAAAAGCTTTACTTTATTCATTTTCACAACAAAAACAACAGCTCTCTGATTTTCCTATTAACCCCCTCCTTATGCACAAGTTTAAGCCTGATTCATGCTTAAGCAAAGGCACATTTTGCTGCTGCAGCGTCGAATCTCCTCTGTATTCAAACTGACCCGATCTGTTGCAAAGAAATTCTTCACCAGGACAGCAGGAGGCGCATTGCTAACATATTGGCCTGAGTTTTGAAGAAATTCTCCACCAAAACAACAGAGGGCGCACTCCTATGCAGGTGTGCATAGTCTTTTAGTGACGTGTCTGCCCTACTACTATTTACTATTTGCGACGCGAAAAGATGGATGACACAGACACAGAGCAAATTCTTATTGTGCAGGAACTGCTTGAGCTAGAAGAACAACAACTCTGCTCCATCTGCTCCATGCCTTCAGGACTGTGTCAACACTCACGCTGTTTACATTTCTTAAGGGAAGCTACGTTGTGCTGGAAATGGCGTTGGGTTGTTTGGCTGACCAATAACAGACGTCCAGCATACAACACCGCCGTCGGATGTTTAGAAAATAGAGCTCGACTCCAACCGACGTAACCAACACCCATACGACGTCGCATCATGGCGATCCAACAGATCCGACATGCTGGAGCAGTGTCAGTATGAATCAGCCTGTAGTCTCACAAACAAACATGAGTTTATTTTGCTGCTGCAGGTTTATTCCCCCAGTTATCTGGATGGGATTCAGTGATCAGAGCTGAACTGTGAAGCCAGTGTGACCTGAACTGGCTTCTATTTTTTTTAGAAACCACTGGGTTGCTAACTGAAGAGAAAAAAATAAAATAAATTCTGCCTAGATGTTAGTTTAAACAAGTCATACTTGTGTCCCATTTTACTTTGGTAAAGCTACTGGCCAGAGGTATACAGTGTAAAAAGTAAGGAAAGCTTCAGAGACGAAATACAGTTTCATTTCCATGACAGTATATATATATATATATATATATATATATATATATATATATATATATATATATATATATATATATATATATATATATATATATATATATATACATATATCAGCTAGATGAAGAGTTGCTACCAGTTCAACCAAACAAGTTTAAGTCAGGGTTCAGCCTACAAGCTAATCTGAACACTGATGGTGAAGCCATGTCTTCAGAAATGTTTGATTTCCCTGCCAGTAGGCGAGCTCCCAGAGCCCAAACTGTTTTCAGAAATAGTTTTAATCTGTTCTATTTTTTTTGTCTAAATGAATGCTCCGTTTATAATATTGGACCCACCGTCCACATCCTATTAAATAGTTTGGATGACAACTTTTCTGTTGATCTCTGCAGATCTACTACAGTGAAATTATGCAGTTCCAGTTCACCATTGTCCTCTTTACAAACTGTTGTTGTGCCTTTAATATTCCTGGGTTAGTTTGAAAGGCATGTATGGCTCTCAAATGTAGCTCAACCAAAACACCATTGTACACCGATGGGACCACGGAATTGGTCAAGGAACAGCTAATCACTGTGGAGAGCCAGTGTGCTTACAAAAGCCAACCCCTGCAACCACATCATGGAGTGACATATGCAGGACACAGTTCTTGTGTAATTACAGCAGGCAAATTTGCTTGATTTATAAAAAAATGGTTTACCTAAATCAATTTATTTTTAAATGTAGATGGTAAAGTGAAATGCAGCTACCTTGGATTTTAAAAGAATCGGGCAATTAGCATCAAAATGCCTCCCATGTCATATTATCTCATGACTTGAGCAAGCGGCTGGAGAAAGATATGTAAAAGCATGAATAAATCAGAAATTACATTGTCACTCTAGAGAGAAAAAGGTGAAAAGGTACATTTCCACATATGTGTATGTAATTCCTGTCCTACAGGGCCAGCGTCCTGCAGGAGTCTGATCCTCCCTGACAGCTAACAAGTCACACCTGGTCGGTATCTACTTGGCACCGGTTGTGGCTCTTTAAACCATCAAGGAGGATCACAGGGAGGATCATAAACTCTGAGGACATGGACAGGCCTCGGGGGGAAGAGCTTCTAGGCTGCCGGCCAAAACAATGAAGAGTCTTGAAGCACAGCAGGCGGCTGATACAAATGCTTTTTCAACGTTATCACCCGGGCTGAGGTCATGTAAACAGGTGAGCAAAAGTATGAGAATTAAAATCAGTTAATTCAAGGTTTTTGCCTTTTCTGATTTTTTTTCCCCTTGAAGCACCTAACAAATGAGTCATCAGACAGTTTTGAAACTGCATTGACTGTCCTCACATCAAAGTGAGCATTTCTGTATGAAAAGATTCCTTTATATGAAAAAAGTCTTTTATGTGCCACAGAAGTCTTGCTTTGGGGGAGTTCATGCTCAGAAATTTGCAGACAACAAACAAGAGCAGTAAAAG